GCTCACCCCGCACGCAGCATTTTGGCACCGGCCCTTCCCTTGCAGAGATTAAATCTCCCCCTCCGGGCTATGCTCTGCCAAGTGGAAAAATCCCAAAACAAGGCGGCTCGGAGCACAAAACCGCCCTCGCCCTGCGGGACACAGCGAGCAGATTGAGGGCTGGGGGACAGGGGTGACACGCACACCTCGGTGTCTGTCGGGGGACAAGGGTGACACGCACACCTCGGTGTCACCACAGAATCCCTTCCTTTCAGCCCGGTCCCCCCTGGCACAGCTCCGTCCCCACGGTGTCCCGGAGCCCCCGAGGGGACAGGACACGGGTGGGGGGACAGAGCTGCAGCCTCGGGGGAGCTGCTCCGGGGGTGTGGGGGCAATGGGAATGAGGGATCAACTCAGCCTGGAAACGGCAGCAATTCCATCAAACCTTGGATCGTTTAGGTTGGAAAAGCCCTCGAAGCCCATCCAGCCCAACCGTTCCAGCACTGCCAAGGCCACCCCTATCCCCTGTGGCTTTTAAACCCCTGCAGGGCTGGTTTGGGGATCGCTCCCCAAGTGAGGAGGGAAGGCAGCAGCGGGACATTCCCTGCCCGTGGCCAGGGCAGTGTTCACAGCCCCTTTTGGGAAGGGTTATTCCCCATTTTCCCGCTGCCGGGCCTGCCTGGGCACAGCCAGGGCCTGCAGGCTCCGCAGGGTGTGGGGCTCGGTGGCCCCGGGTCAGGAGCTTCGCTTGCCCCGGCACGCTGGGCTGGGCCTGGCAGGGACAATCCAACCCTGCCCAAACTTTGCTTTTCCCGGCCCATTCACCTCTGTGCTGCTGCAAGGAGCAGGGGCTGTTCCCTGGCAGGGTTACAGGAAGGACAAACCGGCTTTAAAGTCCGGGAGCAACCTCTCCGTATCTCGGGTGCCCTTTTACCCCAGCCAAGAATCACAGCTCTGACATTGGCATCACCTTCCTTGTTCCTGCAGCGAGCCCGGGGCTTGGGAAGGGAACAGCGGCTGCTCCGGCGTGGGGAGGAACCGAATCCTGCCCGGAGCGCTGGGCCAGGGGGGCTGAGGCCAGCAGCGCTCATTCCTGTCCCGCTGGCGTGTCCCTGTCCCACCGCGGGGACAGGAAAGCCCCGAGGGGACAGGAAAGCTCTGAAGGGACAGGAAAGCCCCGAGGGGACAGTGTGCTCAGCCCGGCTCAGGTGCCACCGCCGCAGATTTAGGATCAAATATCCGAGTGTCCCTCTCAGATGCCAGCAGGCGAGAAGGGTTCGAGCCTGTTCCTATGTCCCATCTGTGTCCCCCGTGTCCCCCGGCAGCAGAGC